TGCATTCCATTTTATTTCTGACAACTTCCAATTTTTATAGATTCATACTTAGTACTTTCCATGTTCTGATTATTAATGGATGTTTGTAGCTGTTTCTTCTCATTTTGAGTCATGCTGCATCAGGAGGCCCAGAAAGCTTTACTTCATCCAAATCATTAAGATCAACTCTACTTTGAGGAGACAGCTCTTCCCCAATCATATTTTGAATGCCTTCTCACCTGAGGGACTTGTCTTCTGGGACTATATTGGACAGTGTTTCGCGGTTATTTGTAAAGTTTTCCAATAATATATCAGACAGTGTTTCAGAAGGTTTTCATTGGCCAATTCTTTGAGCAGTGGATGACCCCTTCCTTCTTTTGAGTCTGTCCTATTCTGGAAGTTCCAATGAAACCTGTCTACCATGGGTGACTCTGCTGGTATTTGAAATACTGATGGCATAGCCTCCAGCCTCACAGGTACACACAAGCCACCACAGTATGACAGACTGACAGATGAGTGGTGACATTATTTCATGGTTGCTTTTAAAAAGATTAAGGAGCTCTAGTGGTATAGTGCCTAAGGCATATGACTACTCACCAGACTGCTGGTGGTTCCAACCCACCAGCTACCCCTCGGAAGGAAGATTGGGCAATCTACTTCTGTAGTGATACCACCTTGGAAACCCAAGGAGAAAGTTGGTTTTGTCAAAGCTCTACTAGCACTTAACTTAAAATATCAGTTTTACAAAGCCAGTTAATAGAAAAAAGGAGGTTCTCATGTCTAGTATTGTCTTTTGTCAAATCTGTTTTTTGAAGAAGAGTTTTACCTTCTTGCATTTGTTCACTGTGTTGTTAGAGGCATGAAGTTTTTTTTTTTTTCTCCTTAGAATATTGTTTCTGTGTAGTATGTTATGCCAGTTGAGCTTGACGTCTCCTGCAATCATGGTCCTGAACATGAAGTTTGTTTTTGTACTTGAGCTTGCTCTACCTATTATGGATACTGTAGCTTTCATTAGTATGCGTTTTTCTATAAATTTGCCCATCCATTTCCTTCAAACTTTTTTTCACAATTTGTTTTAGATTGGTTTCTTACAAAGTGCATTTGTAAGAAAGTGCATTTGGCTGGGAGGGTAACACAATTTCACAGTCTCTTCAGTATCTCAAAAAATCAACTCTATTCTGTTTTGTGATACTTTTTATACTTGATTTTTTAAAAAAATCTTTGTTTATTGTATATATGATCTTACATTTTATATATAAGTTCTTTACTGTTTATACTTTGCTTCTTTTCTTTGTCTGGATCAGTGAGATTTCACATTATTAACTTTTTTCTTCAATGTTAACATTTTTTTTTTAATTCATATTTTTATTTTTAAATTATACTTCCTAGAGGTGGCCCCTCAGTCAGCATACTTTATTAGTTAGCCAGTGAATGGTAAGAGATTGTCTTAAAATTCTTTGTTTGTTTGCTAGTGATGCTATAACAAAAATTCCACAAGTGAGTGGCTTTAAAGAACAGGAATTTATTGTCTCACAGTTTTGGAGGCTAGGAATCAGAATTCAGGGTGTCAGCAGAGCTATGCTCTGTCTGCTCTAGAAGATTATTCCTTGTCTCTTTCACGTTCTGACCCTGGACATTTTTTTGGTGTTCCTTTCACGGGCTTCTTCCTCCTGTATTTCTCTTCATACTTTTAGAGACTTGGTGGTTTAATATAGCCTTTGCACATGAATGATTGCTTGGCTGGGTAAGGAAATCTAGGTTTCTCTTGTCTTATATCATTGTTGACATTTCTTGTTTCTACTATTTGCGTTTCTTTATTATTGGAGTTAGACATTTCATCAGATCATGTCTAGGTGTCGGTTGTTTTTTGTAACATTTCTGCTTCAACGCACCTTTTGGTTCTTTTTGATCTGAAGAGTCATGTGTCTTTGCATTTTATTTGATTTCTTTGATTATTCTTCCCCTCTAACCACTGTGTTCTCTCTGGGAGTTCCTTTCCTAATGATATTGCCTCTCCTGTGTCTTTTTTTCTGTATTTCTTATCTTTTTTTCTCATTTTCATATTTTTTCCATGATTTTATTCACTGTTCTAGTAGATTTGCATACTTTTTATTTTCCATGTCCATTTTGTTTTCAAGCTTTATAACAAAGTTTTTTTTCCCACCAAAGCCCAACAGTCACATTTTCAATTTCTTGATCTCTGATGGTTCCTTCTCATAGCAGAATATTTTCTCTTTGTGTTTGCAATATTTTCTTGAATGTAATTGCAAATATTATTTAGAGTTTTAAAAGGCTTTCTTCTATTTCTTGTGTAGCAGAGGAAGATGGAGGCAACCTGTGGAGACTCACTTCAATTACTGGAGTGAGGGTGCCTTATATCACAGTGAGAATGCTACAGTTTATTTCATTAAAAAGTTGTCCTAAGAGAAAATCCACATCTGATGTGGAGGCCCATAGTTATTTTTCACTGATCCTGCTTCTGTCTTTGGCTACACTGTTTATACTCTTGAGATCTTAAAGCAGTTGCCCCCTTTATGAAGAGAGTGCTTACCTTCAATTTTCACCTCAGCTGGCTGCTGTGTCCACACAATGTGGGGAATCCCCCAATGGTGCTCTGATTCTTTCCATCCATTATTCTGTTTTTTCTCTTCCTTTTATTGCGCATATATTCACCCGCTGCTCACTTCATCTCCTTGTCTCTGATGACTCTGAAGCTAGAGATATTTCTTAGAAGAAGCCTGCTACCTTTGTCATGTTACCTGTGTTTGCGCCAACTTATCCTGTTTTAGCTGATGTGCTCTATATATTCTGAAATTACTGAAAATTTCTGGCCTACCCTTTCCATATTCTGCTATTATGGATTTTTGTTCATTTTCTGTTTTTCCAAATTATGTTTTCAAGATAGAGTACTTACATTTACCTCTCCTGTCTACTACCTTAAACTAGAAACTGCTCTCCTCTTATTTCCAAGACTCCACAATTTCCTGGTTCTCTTCCTACCATTCAGAAAATTGCTTTTTAATCTTCATGGCATACTGGTGTCCCTTCAGACTTTGTACTTATTACTTCCCTAGAACTCAGCTCTCTGTCAGCCATTTAGTTTATTCTGATGGCTTTAGCTAGTACTGAAAGGCTCTTTACTCCAAAACCTTGGTTTCTGTCCTAGCCCTCTCTTCTGGGCTCCAGAATCATATGTCCATTGCCAGCTGGACATTTCTATGAGTATGCTCCATAAATACTCCTGTGCAGGTCCAAAAACTATCTCAGTTTTCTTCTCTACCAAACCTATTGCCTTTCCTGTTTTGCTAATCCCAATATATATCATCAGCCTCCACTCAACTACTCTCTCCCTTTTTTGCATTTGAAAGTACTTCTGTATAAGTTATAAATATAAACATATTAGGGATGATCAGAAAGTGTTCTGATGGTATAAGGAATCAAGTGTTTTAGGAACCAGTGATCTATAGAAAAAAAAAATAAGTCCTTCCACTTCCTGGTCCTGGAATGGCACTGTAGCCTTTTATCTCAGTATAGCTGGAAGCACTTAGTGCCATGTCATACCATGTGTGTTTCATGTCTTTTTGCCTTTTCTTATCCTGTGGCCCCATATTCATATGGGAAATTATATTCTTGTTTAAGAATTTAAAGATCTACCTCCAATCTAATAATAGAAAGTGAAATTCAACTCCGTCTCTTGTGAAATCCAGTGAGTACTAAGTTACATATCCATCATCACTCCTGTAATGCCTCATTGCAGGTATGTGTTCATATACAAATATCCTTAGTGAAGTATGAGCTTCTTGAGAACAGGCAGTGTGTCTTACTGCAAAAAGGACATAAGGGCAGCATCCTCTGACTTCCTCCAACCTCATGAAGGGGCAGCAGAGTCACCATCAACAGTCCAAAGGTTATTCCTATGAGGTCAGACATGCCACCACCCATCCAACCTTTTTAACAATTATGACACCACCCATTCCTTCTATGGCACTCTACTTCTCTTCTGGGTTCAGTAATTGGTTGCAGTGGCGCCATAGAACTCACGGACAATACTCATGATGATGGGGTTTATTAGAGAAGTAACAAGCTATGATTTCAGTTCAGGAATGCTCTCAGGATACAATCCTTTGATTAGGACAGTCTCCTCTCCGCTATTCCCTCAGGCACACCTCTCTAGCCCTTGGCCTCTTGGCCTGGCCTCTGTCCTACTTGGGCAAGTGATGCAAAGCTCTTTTAGATCTACTGACAGGTGCACCTAGGTACACCCTGCTGCATCAGCAAGTCTCCTGCCCAAAAGCACTCAGCCTTCTTGCTCTTTGGACCACCAAGCCTACTACTTTGTCTCATGCCTCTTGGTTACTCTGCCACTGTGTCTCTGCCAGTGGTTTATGCCAATTGTCTCTGCTGTCCTTCTGCCAAGGAGGTCCAGTGCAGGGATCTTGGGACCAAAGACACAGTCCACTCCACCTCTGGCTCTTCTCTCTTGATAGCAATAAGATACCCCTTCTGCCTCCAGGAGGGCTCATTTTAAACCTAGTGAGATGGCAAAACTGACCAATCCACATTACCATCACATACACACTAATTGCGTGGCCTTACCCTCACAAAGGTGTCATGAACTTATTTACATTATTAGTGAGCCAACTAATCCCCTTGGTGGGCCACAGGCACGTCACATTTTCTTAGTTCCAGCCAGTCATCTAGTGGAAGTCACAAAGACCATGGCTAGAAAAGCCATATGAAGTAATTCACTGCACTACACTTACCCATTTTCATTTCCCTAGCAACTTGGACAGGTTCAAGCACATAGTGTCAACTCAGTAGTCTAGTTGTCTTTTATTCATGAATTAAAAAATTAACACACTTGCAGGGCTTTTCTACCTTCCTCTCCCAAATTATAATAATATTAAGCAAGACACGGCGTTTGGTGTCCAGTGTGATTTTTTCTGGTGAACTCTTGACAGTGCTCTAATGAAAGAGAATTAGTTCCCACACATCTTTCCCATGTCTCCCATTCTGATCATTGCAGATTATTGTTACAGGGATCAGTGTCATTCGAGGACGTGGCTGTGGATTTTACTCGACAGGAGTGGCATGGACTGGACCCTGCTCAAAGAACTATGCACAAGGATGTAATGTTGGAGAACTACAGCAACCTGGCATCTGTGGGTGAGGATTATTGTCCATGTAACTCCTGGTAGCATGTGTTTTCCCTTCTTGATTGCTGTAATGTGTGGAGTCTCTGTACAGTTTAATGGTATATTAGTTTCAGATCCAAGGGTCAGTTTGGGGCACCAGAAAGAATGTATGTGTTCTCACTTCCCCAATGAAAGTTTAAATGGGCCCCCTTCCCTGTACAGCTCTTGAAGATGCAATTCCTCTTCCATCAGAGGCCCTAAAGCTCAGACAACTTGGCCCACGTCCTGTGCCATTTCCCATTAACAGGCCTCTGCGTGGCCAAACCAGAGATGATCTTCAAGTTGGAGCGAGGGGAAGAGCTGTGGATATTAGAGGAGGAATCTTCAGGGCATAATTACTCAGGTGAGTGAGCCAAAACCAGATAAATGGGAAATAGGGGAAATAAGATCCCAGAAATTCAGGTCAAAGGTTATCTTTGTAGAATGTCTTCCAGAAATCTTTTTAGAGGGCCTAGCTCTTTGCTCTGGTAGCATAGTGGCTAAGGCACTTGACTGCTAACCAGAAGGCTGGTGGTTCAAACCCACCAGCCACTCCTCAGAAGGAAGATGGGACGATATACTTCCATAGTGATACTGCCTTGGAAACCCAAGGAGGGGTCACTATGAGTCAGGTCCGACTTGACGGCACATAACAACAACAACAACAACAGCTCTTTGAAAATGGCTGGAGGATAGGGATGATCACTCTTACGCTTAAATACTCCCTATTTTATCTTGAATTTTGTAGGGCACTTTACCACTCTTACCTGTCCTTTCCTGTCTCATACTAGACATTTGTTCTTAGTTAGTCTCTCTCTTTAGTGTTCTCAATTGCCTTCCTTCCCTCCATTGCCTTAGATGCTTTCTGTCGTCAGGCACTTATTTGTATATTCATTTACTCATCTAATAAATCTTAAATGAGTATCACATTCTAGGTGTGGGGATCCAGTAGTGAATAAAATAATATATTTTCCCAGAGCTTGCAGACTATAGAGGGAAAGAGAAAAATTATATATATATATAATGTATAATGTTTGGTGGTGAAAAGAAAAGAAATGCAAGGTAAGAAGAATAGATAATAATGGTACATATGCTTTTAGGGAATGTGGACAGGGAACATGATTTCTTGAGGTTAATATTAGGGCACAAACATCAGTGAAATAAGACAGAGCCATGTAGATTCTGAGTATTCTGGACAGAGAGCACAGAAATTGCCAAGCCTAGTCATAGTGGTATATCATAGGAATAGCAAGGAAGCCAGTGTGGCTTGAAGGGAGTAAGAGTCTTAAGAGGTGATATCAGAGACAATCAGCAGTAGGCCAAATTATGTATAGTTTTATGTTGTTGTTGTTATGTGCCGTCGAGTCAAACCCGACTCATAGTGACCCCTCCTTGGGTTTCCGAGGCAGTATCACTACGGAAGTAGGATTGCCCAACCTTCCTTCCGAGGAGTGGCTGGTGGGTTTGAACCGCCAGCCATCTGGTTAGCAGGCAAGTGTCTTAGCCACTATGCTACACTATGTTAAAGACTTTAAATTTACACTATAACAGGGCAGCCATTGGTGGGTTTTGAATGAAAGTGACATGATCTTATTTATGTTTTTAAAGGCTCTCTCTCATTGCTGTGCAGCAACAATTCTGTCGGGGGTAATACCCTTTTGCTTGATAAGAACCTTCTTCAGCATCAGAAGATTCAAACTTTGGATCAAACAGTTGAATATAATGGATATGGGAAAGCCTTTAATAAGAAAACAGACTTTGTTAGACATAAGAGAGCACATACAGGAGAAAAAAACTTTGAATGTCATGAATGTGGGAAAACTTACTGCAGGAAATCAAACCTTGTTGAACACCTGAGACTACACACTGGGGAGAGACCCTATGAATGTGGTGAATGTGGGAAAACCTTCAGTGCAAGATCATACCTCATTGCTCATCACAAAACACACACAGGGGAGAAACCTTTTAAATGTAATGAATGTGGGAAATCTTTTGCCAGGAAGTCACAACTCATTCTGCATCGGAGAACACACACAGGAGAGAGACCCTATGAATGTAATGAATGTGGAAAAACTTTTTCTGAGAAGGCAACCCTCACGATTCATAAGAGAACACACACAGGAGAGAAACCTTATGAATGTAGTGAATGTGGAAAAACATTTCGTGTAAAAATATCTCTGACCCAACACCGGAGAACTCACACAGGGGAGAAACCCTATGAATGTGGTGAATGTGGGAAAAACTTCCGTGCAAAGAATTCCCTGACTCAACATCAAAGAATTCACACAGGTGAGAAACCCTATAAATGTGGTGAATGTGGGAAATTCTTCAGAATGAAGATGACTCTCAATAATCATCAAAGAACTCATACAGGTGAAAAACCCTATCAGTGTAATGAATGTGGAAAATCTTTCAGGGTGCATTCATCTCTTGGTATACATCAGAGAATTCACACAGGAGAGAAACCTTATGAATGCAATGAATGTGGTAATGCTTTCTATGTTAAAGCACGCCTCATTGAACATCAGAGAATGCATTCAGGAGAAAAACCCTATGAATGCAGTGAATGTGGAAAGATCTTCAGTATGAAGAAATCCCTTTGTCAACACCAGAGAACTCACACAGGAGAGAAACCTTATGAATGTAATGAATGTGGAAATGCCTTCTATGTGAAAGTACGCCTCATTGAGCATCAGCGAATTCATACAGGAGAGAGACCCTTTGAATGTCAAGAATGTGGGAAAGGCTTTTGCCGGAAGGCGCACCTGACAGAACATCAGAGAATTCACATTAGCCGGGCTTTACCTTGTACAGTCCAGAAAGTCCCTACCTGAAGACTCCTTTCATCATTTGATCAATCCCCTTGGGGCATCTAATCACCAGGACACACAGAGTTCACCTGTAACCATTTTGCACCTACATTGGTAGAAAAATGTCTGATTCCCCTCAGGGGATAGCTGATAGTTGCTTTAATTTGTATTTCACTAAATAATGGTGAGATTGTGACCATCTTCTTATCTGTGGATGGACTATTTGGATTTTTTTTCTGTGCACTGACTGTTCATAACTTTTGCGTATCGTTTTTTAATGGGTTATTTGTCCTTTAGTTCTTGGTTTAAATGTTATTGTTCATTGTGTTTGTTTTGTTTTAATATATGAGGATATAAAAATTATTTGTCAATGATGTGTGTTGCCAATGTTTTCTCCCAGTCTGTGGCTTGTTCTTTAGTTTGTTATCTCTTTTTGTCTACTGAAGTTTTATGATTAATATTATCAATTTCAAGGTAGTGATATTCTCCTATACTTTCCTCTGAAGTATAGTGTGAAATCTGCAATATATTATACTATACTGTATTTCTGAAAGTTTACAGAAATGGTATCACACTATGTTTAAAGTTCTGCAGCTTGTTTTCCTGTAATTTTATCTTTCTGATATCTATCTATATTGATAAATACAAGTCTGGTTTATTCATTTGTCTCTGAATTCCCCTAGTGAAGACACTTGTACTGTTTCTGTGTTTACTGTGCTTAAGTGTCTAAACCTATAAATGGAACTGATGGGTCATAGGGTATAGGCAATAGTTATTAAGCTATTGTCTCCCAGCTCCAAACCTACCTTTCAATACTATACTTTGTGATGTCGAGGCTATGACTCTACAATTTACATTTCTGTCTTGGTAGCTGCTCTCTGTTCTGCCATTCCAGTAAGAGTGACTAGAGATAAACTTTGAGGCTGGAGAAAGAAGAAAGGACTTGCTCCATTTTTTTCCCCTTCCTTTTCATTGCTTCTTTAGTTGGTCAGTATAGTTCCTTGCTGTAGCAGCAGTTTAATTCAGTTTGAAGTTCTCCATCACTAACAGAACCAGCCTTATGGCCCGCTAGCCCTCTCAGAGACAGTAGTATCAGCTGGCTGGCACCACCTCCTCAAAGATCTGAGTCCTAGTCACATGAGACCCCTCTTCCACCCTTCTCAGCTGCTAATTGAAAGGTCAGTGGTTAAAACCAACCAGTTGGTCTAAGGGAAAAAGTTGTGGCAGTCTGCTTCTGTAAAGATTTACAGCCTTTGGGACAGTTATACTCTGTCCTATAGGTCACTAAGGAGCTCTGGTAGTGTAGTGATTAAGGCATTTCGCTGCTAACCAAAAGGTCAGTGGTTCAAACCCACCAGCTGCTCCTTGGAAGAAAGGTGAGGCAGTCTACTTCTGTAAAGATTTATAGCCTTGGAAATCCAATGGGGGTCACTGTGAGTTGGAATCAACTCACTGGCAGTGAGTTTGTTTTTTTAATAGGGTCACTATGAGTTGTATGTCAATGGGTTTGAATTTTGATTTTGCAGCTTCTTCCCTTTATTACCCCTAGCCTGGCTACTTCTTGCAGTTGCTACTTCCATGATAAGTTTAGTGTTCTCTTTCTATCTTTTCAGTTACATGCTTAACAATTTCATGTTGTTCTTATTAGTTATCATCGAGTCAATTCCAACTCATGGAGACTCCCTATGTTACAGAGTAGAACTGCTCCATAGGGGTTTCTTGGCTATAATCTTAATGGAAGCAGATTCACCAGACCTGTCTTGTGCAGTACCACTAGGTGGTACCATGAACCTTTAGGTTAGAAGTCAAGTACAAATTGCTTGTTCCACCTTATTTTTTTAAATGCATTTTATTGAAATGTAATTTATGTACAGTGAAATAAACAAAACTAAAGTGACGTGGGGCAATGCATTTTTTTTTCTTTCTTTGTAGTGTTCCCTCCTCTCCCCTCCCACCCCTGACAACCAACAAGGAAAGTGTCCCCCCATATATAAACCTTTCCTTGACCCTGCACAACAACAAACTAATACTATATTTGTCCTGTGATTGACTTACTTCACTCAGAATGTTGTTGTTGTTAGGTGCCGTCGAGTTGTCTCTGACTCATAGCAACCCTATGTACAGCAGAATGAAACACTGCGCAGTCCAGCGTCAGCTTCATGATCCCTGCTATACTTGAGCCCATCACCATAGCAACTATGTCAATGCATTTTGTTGAGGGTCTTTCCCTCCTTTGTCGACCCTCCATCTTACCAAGCATGACAGCCTTCTCCAGGGAATTGTCCCTTATGACAACATGGCCAAAGTAGGTGAGATGAAGTCTGGCCAT